TGTGTCATCTTCAATTTCTTTCATCAATGTTTATAGACTACAGGTCTTTTACCTCTTTGATTAGGTTTATTGTATCTATTATATCTATTAGTGGTTTTTGATTTGTGGTTACCATTCAGTTTATATAGAACATTTTCTGCATATAGCAGTCTTTATTAAGCTGATGGTTGCTTAATTTTGAACTCATTCTTTACACCTTTCCCCTCCATGTTTCAGATGTTTGGTATCATCTTTTACATCCTTTTGTGCTTCTCTTGACTGATTTTTATAGATTTACTTAATTTTTTTTTTTTTTTTTGCTTTTGTGCCTTTTATTTTTCTTAGTCTTATTTATGGTTTTTGTTTTCCACTCACAGCCACACTTAACATTTCTTGTAAGGCTGGCTTAGTGGTCATGAATACTTTTCACTTTTGTTTGGGAAACTCTTTATCTCTCCTATCCTGAATGATAGCCTTGCTGGAGAAAGTGTTCTTGGTTGCAGCTTTTCCCCTTTTAGCACTTTGAATACATCATGCCACTTTCTTCTGGCCTGCAAAATTTCTGCTGAAAAATCAGCTGATAGCCTTATGGGGCTTCATTTGTATGTGACTGTCTTCTTTCCTCTTGCAAACTTTAAAATTATTTCTTTAGCACTATTATTTTTGCCATTTTAATTACTATGTGTCTTGGTGTGGAGCTGCTTGGGTTGAATTTGTTGGGGGCTCTCTGTATCTCCTGAATCTGGATCTCTCCCTCCCCAAATTTAGGAAGTTTTCAGCTATTATTTTTTCAAATACATTTTCTCCTCCCCTTTCCCTCTCTTCTCCTTCTGGAATCCCTATGATGCAAATATTTTTATGCTTGAGGGAGTCACTGAGTTCTCTAAGTCTATTCTTATTACGCAGTATTTGTCTCTCACCTGTTCAGCTTGGTAAGTTTCCACTACTCTATTTTCCAGATCACTGATACATTCCCCTGCTTCCTGTAGCCTACTATTTATTGTATCTATTGTATTTTTTGAGTTCTTCATTTATTGAATTCTTCATTTCAGATATGTTATTTTTTATCTTTTTGTCAAGGGTCTCACTGATGTTCTCCGTCCTTTTCTGAAGTCCTGTGAGTATCTTTATGGTCATTACTTTAAATTCTGTATCAGACATATTACTTATTTCGTCTTTCACTTATATCTCCTGTTGTGATTTTTGTCCTGTTCTTTCATTTGGGACATATTTCTGTGTCTCATTTTGTCTACCACTCTGTATCTATTTCTGTATTAGGAAAATCTACTCTTGAAAGTAGAAGGCACATGAAGAAGAGGTCCTGTAGTGACCTCCAGTGTAGTGTCCCCTGTTTACCAGAACCTGGCTCTTCAGGGGAGTCTCTTATGTTTGTTGCTTGCATTCTGCTATTGCATCTGAGTCACTTTACCTTTCAGTCCAGACATCTTCACTGACTCTTTGCCTTTCGTGGGCTGTGTTTGCTCTCTGTGATGTTAGTGAGACCCAGGCATGCTGCCTCTGAGAGGCCATGACAGCAGAAGGGCTTTTTCTGAGTGGTGGTGTTAGCAAAGTGCACTGAGTTGCTAGTCCTGGCCCTATCCCCTACAGCCCAGTAGCTGCTGGGAGTGCAGCATGCAGTAGCTGAAGTGGCCAGGGGCCTGTAGCATCTGTTCATGAAGTGGCTGGGTATGGTATCTGTGCTCCTCGTGTCTATGTGAGCAATGGCTGGGTAAGAAGTGTGCAGCTGGGGTGTGCAACACCTGTGCATGCAGTGGCTGCATAGGATGTGTGGGATTTAGCAAAATTTGTGCTGAGCACCAGTCCTAGGCCAGATCTCCTGAAGTATGGTGGCCATGGGTCTATGGCACGTATAGGCAGTGGCTGGGTGAGGTACATGTGGCATTAACAAAATTTACACTGAGCCCAGTGCCAAGGCCAGCAGGCTTGGAATCCTCAGAAGAACTCATGAGCTGGGCTCACTGTGAGCAGGTTGGGTAGCAAGTGTCTGTGCAGTGCTGCTTCCCACACATGGTTCTGTGTTTATGCTGGGGGGGGGGGGCACGGGTAGGAAAATGTCACCTGCCAGCTCCTTTGTTCCCCAAGAAGTCCACCAACATGCTCCAAAATCAGTATAAACAGATTTCCCTCCCAACTATGTTGCCTCTCCTTGGGCTGTTGTTTCTTTAAGCCAGGAGACTGGCTATCACTCACCTTCCCATTGCTGAGTCAGTTGACTTAAAGTGCCAGGCTCCAAGTCCCAGTGGTTATACAAATTCATGGAATTTAGCCCCTTCTAGTTTTCAAAGCCAACATTATAGAGATTCATTTTCCCCATGTGGGCTCTCTGGTGCTTTCCCTTTTCCAAGACTACAGCTCTCTCCCTCCTGCAGGCAGCTCCTGACCACTGTTCTTCCCCTTCCTAACCTCCCCAGTGCAGCTTCTTCTATACATTTAGTTGTGGAGTTTGTTCTGCCAGTCTTTGGATCACTCTCCGTTTTATTTACTTGGATGTGAGTGATATCTATTTGTAAATGCAGGATGAGTTGAGCTTAGGGTTCTCCTACTTCACCATCTTCCCAAGGCTCTCCAGCTGATACCTCCAGTTTTGTTTTGTTTTTTCAAGATTGCATTGGCTATTCGGTGCCTTTGTGGTTCCATACAAATTTTAGGATTGTTTGTTCTAGTTCTGCGAAAAATGCTGTTGGTATTTTCATAGGGATTGCGTTAAATCTGTAAATTGCTTTGGGTAGTATGAACATTTTAACAATATTTGTTCTTCCAACCCATGAGGAATGCTATGGATTTTTATGTTAATTTTGTTTCCTACAACTTTACTGAATTCATTGATTTTTAGTAATTGTAGTCAGACTTTATATATTTTCTCGATAAAAAAATCTGTAAATAGAAACAATTTTACTTCTTTTGCATTTCTGATGTCTTTTATTTCTTGTCTGATTGCTCTGGATAGGACTTTAAGAACTATGTTGAATAGGAGTGGTGAGAGTTGGTATCTTTGTTCTTGCTCTTAGAGGAAGAGCTTTCAGCTTTTCACTATTGAGTATGATGTTAGCTGTGGGATAGCCATATATGACCTTTATTATGTTGAAGTATGTTCCTTCTATATGTAATTTGTTAGGAGTTATTATTATGAACAAATGTTGAATTTTGTCAGAAACTTTCTGTGCATCTATTGAAATAATCATATTTTTTTCTTTCATTCTATTGATGAGATGTATCACTATATTGATTTGTGTATGTTGAACCATCATTGCACCCAGGGATAAATCCCACTTGATCATGGTGAATGACCCTCTTTTTTTTTTTTTTTTTAAAGATTTTATTTGAGAGGGAGCATGAGCAGGGGGGAGGGGCACAGGAAGAGGGGCCAGCAGATTCTGTGCTGAGCACAGAGCCCAACGCAGGGCTTGATCCCAGGACTCTGGGATCATGACCTGATCCAAATGCAGATGCTTAACTGACTGAGTCACCCAGGTGCCCCTGTAAATGACCCTCTTAATGTGCTGCTGAATTCAGCTTGCTAGTACCTTATTGAGAATTTTTGCTTCTTACTCATCGGGGACATTGGCCTGTAGTTTTTTTTCTTTATAGTGTCCTTTTCTGGTTTTGGTATCAGAGTAATCCTGACCTTGCAAAATGAGTTTTGAAGTCTTCCATCCTCTTTGATTTTCTTTTTCTTTTTCTTTTTTTGTGGAGATTTGAGAAGTATTGACATTAATTCTTAAATATTTGGTAAAATAGACTATTGAAGCCATCTGGACTGGAGCTTTTCTTTGTTGGGAGATTTTTGATTACTGATTTGATTACCTTACTAGAAATTAGTCTGTTTAGATTTTTCTATTTCTTCCCTGATTCAGTCTTGGTAGGTTGCATGTTTCTAGGAATTTTTTTATTTCTTCTAGGTATTCCAGTTTGTTGGCATGTAGTTGTTCTTAGTTGCCTCTTAGGATCTTCTTATTTCTGTGGATTAAGTTGTAATGTCTCCTTTTTCATTTATAATTTTGTTGATTTAGGTCCTCTTTTTCCTTGGTTAGTCCTGCTAAAGGTTTGTCAGTTTTGTTTAACAAAACTAACAGTTGGTTTTATGAAAAGATAATCTTTTGAATTTTCTTGTTATTTCTGCTCTAATATTTATTATTTCCTTCCTCTGCTACCTTTGGGCTCAGTTTTTCTTCTGTTTCTAGTTCCTTATGGTGTGGAGTTAGGTTATTTATTTGAGATATTTCTTGTTTATTAATGTAGGCATTTGCTGTTATGAACTTCCCTCTTAGAACTGCTTTGCTGCATCCTATAAGTATTTTGTTTCAATTTTCATTTGTCCCAAGATAATTTCTTCTTTGATCCATTGGTCGTTCAGGAGATTGTTATTTAACTTCCATGCATTCATGAATTTTCCAGTTTCCTTTATTGAGGTCTAGTTTCATACCATTATGGGCAGAGAAGATACTTGGTATGATTTCAGGCTTTCTGAATTTGCTAACATATAGTCTATCCTAGAAAATGTTCCATGTGCATTTGAGAAGAATGTGTATTCTGGTGTTGTCAGATAGAATGTTCTCTATATGTCTGTTAGGTCCATTTGGTCTATAGTGTTATTCAAATCTGCCATTTCCTTATTGATTTTTCTGTCTGGATGATCTTTCCATTATTGAGAGTGGGTACAGCAGTCCCCAACTAGTACTGTATTGCTGTATTGCTGTTCATTTCTCCTTTTAGCTCCATTACCTTTGCTTTATATATTTAAGTGTTCTGAATGTTGGGTGCAAATATTTACAATTGTTACATTTTCTAGATGGATTAACCCCTTTATCATTGCATAGTGACCTTCTTTGCCTCTTTTTTACTATTTTAGCTTAACACTTATTTTGCCTAATGGAAGTATAGCTACTCTTGGATTTTGTTCTGTTGGTTACCATTTATTTGAAATATCTTTTTCCATCTCTTCACTCAGTCTATGTATGTCTTTTAGGCAGTATATCATTGGATTTTTTTTATGCATTCAGCCATTCTATGTGTTTTAAGAACCTGAATCAGGCAGATCTGCATCCCACCGAGTTCCCTGGTCATGGCTCTGCAGATAAAGCCACTGGTTGGGACTACTTCTTGGGCATTGCAGCTAGGAACTCAGTTTTCCAAGATCTGACTGCTGGTTGTTGCAAGCCCCTCCCCGTTTTCCCATCACAATCAGATTCCCAGTGGTCAAGTCCTGCAGATTCCCCTGCAATTCCTGGGGGTAAAATTGGAATGGGGATTCCTAAAAAGTGACCCACAGCACTGGGAGTGCTGGTTGTCCACACTGGGCTCTTTCCCTCCCCTGGAGGAACTGTAGGCTCAGGCAAGACCTCTTGGCATAGCACAGTACCAGCCTGGAGGAGGGGCAATGTGGTCAGCATGTAGCTGCTCCTCTTACTCTTCTAATGTGGTCTTTTTTCGGTCTCCATGGTACAGAGGGTGCTTCAGCATAACCCCTGCATTCTAAGTTTCTCTCAGTGGTCTTATCCATGAATAGTTGTTAGTTTTCATTTTGTGAGGAAGAGCAAAGTCAGGAACCTATGTCTCCATCTTGGTGATGTTACTCCTGACACTTGATTTCTTGTAAAGTACATCAGAAATTCTCTTCTATAACCTTCTTTGCCTTTCTCCCCTCAACGAACCTAAAACCACCTTAAGATGTTCACCACATTTTCCTTGTACCCCAAACAGGGAAAGTAAATAAGTACATTCACTGTAGTGGTAGAAAGAAATGAAGGGAAGAAGAGTGGGCAAGCAGGACGGTGGGAGGAAAGAGGAAGGGAGGGAGAGAGTATAGGAGGAAGAGAGGAAGAGAAGAATTGTATGCCAGAAATGTATCAGGAATTGTGATTGTCAGAAGCACTTGTAATAGCAAAGGCAGAATTCCAGAGGCAGAAAACAATTCTGGCTATAGAGCTGTCTTAAGTTCAGTTTATGCTCAGACCAGGTAGAAAGTGGTACTTAAATGTTTACTTCTTTATCCCGACCAGTGTGTGTGGTAGTCCTCTACCTAGCTCTGAATGTTCATGGCCCATCCCAGATCCAAAGAGGGGTTCGCAATTCTTTCCTTTGCCCCTGCTACTTTCCCTGCCCCAAGGATTTATTGGGCCATGATGCTTGGAGCTTGGAGAGGCATAGCAAACAAAAGTTACAAGCTGAGTCAGTAGAGCAAGTTTTGTCTTATTGGAATGTCTTTGCATTTCATCTCTTGAGACTTTTCATAGAAATTCCTCTCCCAGGGGCTACTGCAAAGTACTTCACAGACTTCTTAGCCAAAGACTGAAAAAAAAAATTCCTTCAATGTCCTTTTGTCTTCAGTTTCCATAAAGTGAATCTCCTTAGTTTAGGCCCTGCTAAGGTTAGAATTTCATTCCTAAGAACATTAAGTCATGGAAAGCCAAAACCAAGAAATGGTTGAAGTTCTGGCCTGCCCAAAGCCACTCTTGACTGCCTGTTTCCATACAGACTAAGAAAACATCTAAGGTCTTTGGGAATCAATCAGCTTAAGAGAACACACATCTGAAAGAGGATAGTGTTTGATAGATATGGTCATGGGAGCACTCTCATCTCCCTAACCGACACAGGTAAGATGATAACATTGTTCAACGGCAGGTTCTGCTATCTCCAGAAAAAGTTACCACAACAGGCATGCTTAGAAAAAAATTTTTTTCCCCCAGGGTATGTCTTCTTCCGAGGATTAGCAGACCACACTAGTAAGCTGGATAATCAAAACAGCATAAGTGTCATTGGCTATATTTCATATTTCTTCTTCAAAGTATGTCAATGGCATTTTCCAAGTTCTTCTGTGAGATTTCTAATTAGGTGGCTTGGTACTCTAAAAAGGTAGCATAGAAACAAGATGGAAAAGGTGGATTTAGAAAAAATATATACAGTCTCTCTGAAGGGTGAAGTGATTTCTCAGGAGTATGTAGGAGTAATAAAGCTTTCTTTAAAGATCCCACTCTGATTTCTCTTATTCTAGGAGAAAAAAATACAACAGAATTTCAGAAGACCCAACTGAAAATATTCCATGTGCATAAATTTATTTTAAATTTTATTCCATCACATTATACAAGCATTAAACATGGCTTCATGTTGATGACTATTTAAATGTGAAAATTTATCATTCATGTCAGTACCCTTTGGCTATTTACAAGTAAGGAATTGCTATGTACTTTATATATCTCTGTATTTGTATGTACATATGTAAGAATACATGACTATACATATGTACACACAGAAATACATCTATGGCCATACACATAGCTATAGATATGTCATATATAATAATCTCCTCAGAAAGATCTGAAATTAAAAAAAAAGAAAAAGTTGTAAACAGGGTCTTGTCTGTATCGTTCAGTGACATGGAATTAGGACCATATGATGACATTCTAGGAATGTGTGTCCAGGTGTCTGAATACCTATTATTAGCCCAGTGTCTGTAAAATTCACATGGGGTAGAATGCAAAAAAGGTAGCAAACAGGCTGAAAAACAGGCCCAGTATACAAGTTCCCCTTGGTTTTAAAAACTTGAGAATGTAACTGCCCATGACGTGCATGCTTGCTTGGTCAAGAATGGTCTATGGATAGATAGCAATTATGTGCTGCAATGTGATTTCACAGCAGCATGATTTCCCAGGTAGTCCTTTAAGGGTGCTGACCCCCCCGATGCTGCCAATGTCTGCGACATGCACTGCGGTTGCGTTTTAGTCATTCACTTGAATGTGCTTTTGCACAGCTGGGAGAAGTAAACAGAATTCAGGTCCTTGGCTTGGAAATGAACTATTACCTAGAAAGAGAAAAGAAGGCATTAAAACTCTATGTATACACAGTGGCTTAAGAACGCAGTGTGCAATGGCTGGTTTGTACTCACATGAATCAAAGGCATTCAAAGAATTTGTAACCCCAAACTGAGTCAGGTATGGTATAAACATTATTGTACCTGCTTTAAGACTGAGTCAGAAAGGCAGTCTGAAGCAAGGTGACACCCTGCCAACCATTGGCAGAATAGAGACAGACAAACACTATACTTTCAAGCAAAAATCAGAAATGGTGATGAGACCAGAAGAAACTCCCAATTGGTTACCAGCCCTACAGGCCAATGCAGCCCCTAGGTGTAGGTAATGCCCCTGCTGCACCCTGGTCTCTAGCCTCTGGAGCTCCTAGGAACAGTGCTCTTCACTAATGTCTGCCTCCTACCCCCAAACAAAGCCATTTGGATAGTTAGTCTTTCTCCTCTGACAGCTGACCAGAGCCAGAGAAGAGGTGATTTGAATGGGTGTCGGGGTCAGGGGTTTGGAACAAATTCTAGGATCCCAGAAGGTTAAAAGCTGGATAGGCTCTTAAAGATTTGTTCAGTCCAACTTCTTTACTTTTGCAAATGTGGAAATCAAATCCACATGAATATTCCATTCCAGATCCTACAGATAGAGAATGGAAAAGCGAGGTCTAGTATCTGGCAGACTGTAACAAAATGTTTAACAATACAAATCCCCTACAGTATTCTTTTTATTTTTATTATGTTATATTAAACACCATACATTACATCATTAGTTTTTTTTTAACCGTAGGTTTCTTTTTTTCATTTTTTTATTATGTTATGTTAATCACCATACATTACATCATTAGTTTTTGATGTAGTGTTCCATGATTCATTGTTTGCATATAAAA